CTGTGCTGCTGGACACTGTTGGGTTACTGTGGTGGAGGACGGGGCTCCAGCAACGAGCCAACACCAATGTCCTTGCTGGATGTGTTCTTCTGGCTCACCTGAAGTTTTTGACCAAATCAGTTTTTCATGCCTTTACTTGCTTGGCTTTTGACAAGCAACCAACCTGAGACTGGGGATCAGGGCAATCCCCTGTGTACCCCAGAAGGGTGCTGATAGGACCAKTCCCTCCATTCCAAGCATTTATAGGAACAAGCTGTCATGTCCGTCCAAATACCATGATGCTGGTTGACCTCTGTCCCTCCCAAGGTCATCACTCACATGGTGGCACACCCACCAGTGGCCACAGACCCACATTTGTTGCCGTGCTGTGATTCTTTGGAGAAGGAACCAACTTTCACTTCCATGATAGGTGACAAAGACTCCATGTTCAAGGTTCCTTCTGCAYACTTCGCCCCTTGTGTAAGCACCCAGGAGCCTCATTGTTCCAGCCCTGAGCTGTGGCTGCCCTTGCCCTTGCAGAACCCAGACACCACTTTGCATTTCTCAGGTTCTCATTTCTGAGCAGCTTTGAACACCAGCAATCTGAGTTTTCACACCCAGCAGCCTCAGGACACTGAAAGATCTGAGGGGAAGATGCAGCCAGGAGAAAGGAGCAGGAATCCAAATCCACTGTGATCAAAGCACTTTTGTCTAGAGAGTTTCAATTAGATCAGGACATGGTCTGGCTGCTTTTTCTTACTGTGTTCATCGTGCAGATGAGCTTCATGTCAGCTTGGCCTTCTTTCCTCCTGCCACGTTGGCTCCAGCTTCTTTTCATTAGCGATGGTCTGTCTTCATTAGTGAATTAATTCTCCAGGAATTGCACTACAATAAACTCTCCAGAGCAAASATGAGCAAAGCCACATCTTGGCACTCGCTGGACAACAGCAAGTGTTTTGTGGACAGAGAAACCAATCATAGAACTGCTAAAAACCTCCAAATTTTATTCAAACCAGGCCCAGAGTCTTTGAAGCTTTTTCAAACAAAACAAAAGATGTTTGGTGAGTGTTTAGTTTGGATTGACCTGTAGRTCGGGAACTTGGAAATGAGCCCTCATCTCTCTTGGGGAACAGACCTCAAAGCAAAGGTGAAATCCATGAAAGCTCCATTTTCCAGGTGCTTTTAGACATGCCCTAATATCTGAAATGGTCACAGGGGCTTTGCCWACCGGGGGCCAGACACCTGCAGAGCAGGGCCTGGGCTGAGCTGGGCTCCCTGCACTGTAGCAGGGAGCAATGCAGAGGTCTGGACCCATCAAGATGTGGCAGAAGTTAAATTTAGTCTGGGAATGAGGACCAAAGGGGAAGGAGGGCAGATGGTGTCTTCAGAGTGATGGCCAGGGGGGCATTACAAAAGTCTGGAGTGTCAGGACAACGGGGAACGGCTTCCCACTGCCAGTGCAGGGTTAGATTGGATACTGGGGAGGAATTCTTCCTTGTGAAGGTGGTGAGACCCTGGCAGAGGTTCCTAGAGAAGCTGTGGCTGGCCCATCCCTGGAAATGTCCGAGGCAAGGTTGGACGGGGCTTGGAGAAACCTGGTGGAATCTGGGTTGGAATCTGTGGAAGTAGAGTGGAAGGAGATGGGATTTAAGTCTCTTCCCTCCCAAACCATTCTAGGATCCTATGATCTCCTTGAGAAAAGGTGCCTCAGCATCTGCTCCCTTCTCATCCTCTCCTGGAGGCAGCATCTTTCYCTGGAGAGCTGCTCCCTGTCTCCCTGTCAGCCCTGCACAGCCTCTGGGGACCATTTGCCGGCCTCCACCCATCACCCCTTCCCCTGGGGAGCAAACAACTCTAGCAGTAATTGCCTTTTTGCCTCTTGGCATTATCTTCCAAACCCTCAAAGTCAATTTTGTTCCACACCACAGTTCCTGCCCATCCCATCCCATCCCATCCCATCCCATCCCATCCCATCCCATCCCATCCCATCCCATCCCATATCATCCCACAAGGAGGCTGTATGGTCACTGGTCCTTTCTCCTGGCTTTGGCACCCAGGAGGAATTGAATTGATGCCCATCTCTGTGGGGAAGGTATGGTACAAAAACCACCAGTGAGGGAGGCCAGGGTGAACATCTACAAATTATGGTCAGGCTGAAACAAACCCAAAGTGGATGAGGATGGGGATGACAATTACCATGGACGCTTTAGTCATAGCTGTTAATAAAACTTACAGCAGTAATAGAAATGCAATGATGCTGGTAATTGCTTCAATGCTGATGAGAATAATAAGATTATTTATTAACTGTGAGCCATTATCAGCATTTTCTAGAACTTCTGCATCCCAGACCGTCCCAAACTCGGGCCCTATCATATTAATGTAACATGGGGCAAATGAGAAAAGCTTTTTCTTCATGGCATAACAAAGGAAGAACACTGGAAACAGCAAAGTCTATCCCTGTCCCTCTGCTAACTGCCCCCTCAGCATGTGGCAGGGGTTGAGAATTTGGTGTGGTCTTGCATTTCCACCCTTTACAGAATCACAGAATCATTGAGCTTGGAAAAGGCCTCTGAGACCATCAAGTCCAGCCTGTGACTGATCCCCACCTTCTCACYCACACCAGAGCACTGAGTGCCACATCCAGATATTCCTTGRACACCTCCAAGGAAAGTTAAGTGTAGAAGGAATTGAAGTTGGACTTGTGGCCTTCAGAGCAGCTGAGCCCCATGAGAACTCTGTGGTCAGACCCAGGGGATGGATGGAGGAGGAACTTGGAGCAATTTTATGAGTTTTGCCGTTCTCCATCTGGGGTTGATGGGGACAGTGGACAGGGATCTCCAGGGAGCACATTTCCTGCAGCTACCTCTGCCCTTGCCTCATTGCTTGAAGGAGCGAAGGGAACAAAACCCCCAGCTCCAAACTTTGCTATTTTCTATGGGTTTTTTGGTCACAGCCACATTTCCTGTGACCATGGCACACAGATGCCAGAGAATGATGGCCAGGTTTGCTCTGGCTGCTTCTGCAGGACCACCCTCAAACCTCCTGGGGCAAAACGAAGGGAGGAGCAGGGAGAGCAGGTCCTGTTCCTAAATCCTGTCAGGCCAGGCACTGCAACAAGGGGTAAAGATGTGTGCAGGGAGGAGGGATGGATGTGGACCATGGCAGAGAGATGGACGTGGGAGGAAGAGGGATGGATCCTGTGTGTGGGTGGTGGCTGCGAGTCCTGGACCATGTTTGGGAACTGCTCAGCAGCTTTATGTGTCGGGCAATGGCTCCCACACAGCTCTGAAGGACAGGAAGCACCCAGGGTGGGAGCTTGTCCAGCAAAATCAGTAGAAGGCCCTAGAAACCCAAGGAGTGGGAAACAGAACACAGCATGCAGGGGTTGCAGAGGAGCTGTGGTAGGGGGACGGTGCTGCTATTTTTGGTGTCACCCCCCCAAGCAGCTCAAGCTAGGGGAGGTGGCACTGGGATGTCACAGCTGGAGGGCACATCAGCCCTCCCCAAGGACCAGCTATCGGTGACGTGGGATACAAGGGTCAGGGCCCAGCCCCCGGGGAGCCTCTGGCATCCCTCTGCCACCCCCCGCTTCCATGGACACCCCTCCCTGTTCCCTTCATTTGACCCCCAGGGCTGGTTCTCTCCCACACCCCTCGTCCTCCCCGTGCCCCAGCTCTCCCTGCCCTGAGCTTTTCTCAGGGTCTCCTGCCCTGTCTCCTCCCCACAAGGAATAAATCACCCTCCAAATCCAGCCTTGGCTCTCAGAGGAAACGGCTGCCCATACTGTCATCTCCTTCCCACGGGACCTGGCTGCCACCAGGATGTGCTCTTTTCCCAGAGCACAAGAGGTTCATTCAGCAAAGCTGACAGGGATCCGTGCCCCTGGACCCTCCGGACTCCTGCAGACTGATGTCCCCTCCTCCAGCCTGCACCCATCTCTATTCCCACCTTGATTCCTTGCTCATGAGAGGGGTTTTGAGAAGGGAGAGTGAGTTTGGGTCCTTGGCTGTATAAAAAAGGGCCCAAATGCCCTATTTCCATCACAGGTAAAGGCTGCAGACCTGCAGCAGGGAGCTCTGAGCAGCAGGATGGGGAATCCAGGTTTGCCAGCCACCTCCACATGGTCCCCATGGCCAGGTTAACACCAGCAGCACTGAGACACTCAGCAAACAGTCAAGAAAATGTTCTGTAATCAATCCCCTTTGGTGGAAAGCAATAACCCTCGGGCTGARTGTTCTCAACTTTTTCAGCCTCCAAGGAGCAGCTTTTTAGAGGGCCAGAGGGGGAAATTGATCCAGCAGACTGCACTTCCCGCTTGGAGAGCTCTGGCCAGATGAGCCCATCCCTGGTGGCTCCCCAGGGGGATCAGGGAATGAGCAGAGCCCAGCCAGAACACAGCTCTCCTCCTCCTCCTGCCCTTGGCATCAGCCCATCAGCAAAGAGGGTTTTGTCAATCCGAGCACATTAGGAGATGGACCAGGCTGTGCCTGGGAGMTTCCCCAGGGGTCCATTAGCACCCACAGATCCTTCCTCCATCCCAGTGCATCCCAGGGGATGCTTTTGTTGGCGATTTCCTCCCCAGGCACAGGGCAATTGTCTGGGACAAGGAGCTGGCAGGGCTGGTGCGGGTGGGATGAGAGGGTGACCTGCTGCTCTGGGTGCAGGTGCTCAGGTGGAAACTGAGCTCCAGGGCACATGAACACCCTCCAAGGCATGGAGGCTGGATACTCAGGCACATTCCTGGTGCTAATGCATTCCCTGGCTTGGCATCAGCCCCCAGAGCTCCCAGGTTGTGTCTAGGGTCTCTGCCACCCCAGGACACAGGCAGGGAAACCAGTCCATTCACATGGTTATCAGAACTGCTGCCCACTGCCAGGAGAGGGAGGAAGGGAGTGGCATCCTCCCATCTCAACGCAGGTGCTGCCAGCCCCCCGCTGCCACCCCATYGGGAGCTACACAACCCCAGCCAGAGCATCCCACCCGTGTCTGACTCCTTCCTGTGCCTGTTGTCTCTCACACAGGTATAAGAGCGTGGTGACACCGCGGCGGGCAGCCGTGGCCATCGCCTGCTGTTGGATCGTCTCCTTTCTGGTGGGACTCACCCCCATGTTTGGCTGGAACAACCTTCATAAGATGCAGAGGACTCAGGAACTGAACGGCAGCCACACAGAGTTTGTCATTACATGCCAGTTTGAGACGGTCATCAGCATGGAGTACATGGTGTACTTCAACTTCTTYGTCTGGGTCCTGCCTCCCCTGCTGTTGATGCTGCTCATCTACCTGGAGGTCTTCAACCTCATCCGCAAGCAGCTCAACAAGAAGGTGTCCTCCAGCTCCAACGATCCCCAGAAGTACTATGGGAAGGAGCTGAAGATCGCCAAGTCCTTGGCGCTGGTGCTCTTCCTTTTTGCGCTCAGCTGGCTGCCCCTGCATGTCCTCAACTGCATCACCCTGTTCTGCCCGTCCTGCCAGACCCCGCACATCCTCACCTACATTGCTATCTTCCTCACCCACGGCAACTCGGCCATGAACCCCATTGTCTACGCCTTCCGCATCAAGAAGTTCCGGACAGCCTTCTTGCAGATCTGGAACCAGTATTTCTGCTGCAAAACCAACAAAAACGCCACCAGCACCACCACAGCTGAGACAGGCAACTAGGAACTGGCAGAGGGCAGAGAGGGGGTCTGTGCCCACCTGGTCCCCACCTGGATGTTGTTCCTGCTGTCCCAGGAAGGGGTAGTGAGGACTCGAGGGGTTCTGAGTTCAGCAGCCCCAGGCAGTCCCCAGAGCCGCCTTGGGGGGTTATTTATTCGCAATCATTGTACTGTTTGGATATTGTAGCCTGCACTGTTCCTTCTGGTTTGGTTTTATTTTTCCCAGTTTGTTTTTGTTTTTCATTTTTTTAAGGGTTGCCAAGTATTTAAGGAGAAATTGTACAGACAAACGCGCAGTTTATCTTCATGCAAATAAAGTCCAGTTATGCAAACCACCCAGGAGGTGCCCTGCCATTGATGGAGATGCCTGGCTCCGTGGTGTTGGTGGTGCTGGGGGCACCTCATGCTCTGGCCCCATGTCCGTGGAGCCATGGAGGTACCTGGGCACTGAGACAAAGGGCTGCCTTGTGGGAGTGAAGCCAGGAGAGCTCAGAGCAGTGGGATTTCTGCAGAAATGAATCTTGAAAGCCCTTTCTTTCCCCTCTGTAACCAGGGAGAGGTGAGCTGGGCTGCGACATGTGAAGAGACCTGAAAAGCTTTCCCATGGCATTGCCAGCACCCATGGGATGGTGAACCCACAACCCCACAGAGCAGAGGGTCAATCTCCAGCTCTCAGCCCTACCATAGAGGTAGGCAGAGGTGGTATTGGTAGGTGGAGGTGGGCAGAGGTGGGCAGAAGTGAAACCCTAAAGCACAGCCCCAGAGAACTCTGCAGAAACACCTTTTGCTGCCCCAAAGGCTCCCCATGGGTCCCAGCAGCTCCCACCATCCCTGTGAGCTGCCCAGAGAGTGTGTCCTCTCCACATGTCCTCTCTTTCCGTTTACTCTAGTTTGGAGTAATTTTCCCTCTTTTCTCCTGGCTGTTTTCTGGGGAAAGCAGTAACAAATCTCTCCCAGGCTGTTCGTCTCACACCTCCCGTGTTGCTCCCTCCCACCTCTCCTGTGCAGCCAAACTCTTGACCCAAACATTGTGAGTTAATGCAGCCACCAGCATGGCCCAGGGGGCAGAGGGGTATCTGGACCCCTCTGGGGGCAACTGGGGACAGCTACAGGCCACTGTCTTGGTGCTGATGCTGCCACAGGGCGATGTGCCACCCCTCAGGTTCAGCTACAGGAAGATTTGAGGAGGGTGCAGCTGGAGATGGAGCATCCCTCATCCAGCACCTGTCCCTCTGGATGCTGCAAGTGCGAGTCCCTGCTCTGCAGCAGGGTTTCCTCCAGGGCTGAAGTGGTGGTGGGAAGAGTTAATTTGAGTTGATTTGGATTCTTTTCTTATCAACATCCCTTGTTCACCAGGCTCTCATTGGGAACACAGGTCCTACAACCCTGCCCCTGCCCCAGCAGGGTCGTGCCCCTTACAGGGGACATCAGCAACTGCAAAGTGACTGCAGCAAGTTCCCACAGGGCTTGGGAGTGCAGAGAGGAAAGGATCCTTGGATGTGTGAGATTTACGGGTGGTTGGTAGCAATGCTAGGAGTGTGCAGTGAGGCAGCCAGGTATCCCTTCTCCAGCTGCTGCAGCCAGCTCTGTTTAGCCTGGAGGTACCAGGAGGGTGGCAAGGAACAGAGGAGATGAGAGCTCTGCCGTTTTCCAGGGGCCTCATATCCAGGCTCCTGGCTCAGATCTCACTGGGGAAAATGAGAGTGGAGCAGAGGCAAGGACAGGAGAAAATTCTTCCCTTAGTGCTCATCACAGTGGAGGTGTCCTCCCAACCTTCCTGTGGTGTGGAAGGTGCTGTGCCAGTACTGAGCCCCTGGGAACAGCACTTTCCCCTGGAGTCCAGCCCACATCCCCCTCCCAGGCATCACCAGGTGCCCTGGGGCTAGGGCTGAACCTCTCACACAAGGGTGAGACTTTGGTTTGTCCCAAATCCTCCCAACAGCTCCTCTGCCCAGTGCAGTGGTTCCTTCGCCCCCAAGCTGCCATGTGCCATGCCCTGCTCTGGCCAGGGCCAGCATCTCCTGGAAAAGGCAGAGGRAAGTGCCTCAGGTGTTCAGGAGCACCGCTGCAGCCCCAGGTGAGTGCAGAGAGGATCCCCCAGGCCAAGCCCGTGGTCCCCTGGCACAGCAGCACCTTGTCCTCAGAGAAGTGCCACTGTTTGCCCAGCTCTCACTCTCAATTGCATGTTATTTCTGCTTCTTTCCTGGATCTGACACTTTTGCCTGGTCTTTGCTAAGGTGCCCGGGTGACTGGGATGCTCATAAATTAAAAGGCACGTGAATGGTTGCTTCAGAAAAAATAACATCCAGTGGATTTTTCCACTCTGGGCTCTCCAGACCTTTCCCGGGGACCCCTCACTAAAAGTGGATGTTGCCAAGCACCTCAGTCCCCTGTGGGTTTACAAACACAGTCTGTGCCTGTAGGACTGGAATAAGGGCCCGGAAAGGGCACAGTGCTCAGCATGAGAGAGTCCTGGAGATCAGCTCACAGACCCTGCTTCCAGACCCTGCCACATAAAGAATCCCACTGGCCAAAACTACATGCCCATGTGCCAGGGACACCAAGGAGGGAAGAACACCCCAGCAGTGTCCAGAGCTGGGTGTGAGCATGTCAGGGAAAACGAGCTCTGCACCTGCCAGCTGGGACTGCAACTTCCACCCTGCGGCATCACCACCTGTCCCAACCACCTCAAAAATTCATCCTGACCAGCAGCAGGAAAAAATTAATCCGACAATGCCCTCTGATGGTGGAAACAATCCTGGTGTAAGTGGTGCTGTGCCAGTGCTGAGCCCCTGGGAACAGCAGCACCCCCCGGACTTCAGCTTGGGCTGAATGTGCCTGGGGACAGAGGGGACAAAGTGGAGGGGCTGCCAGAGAGAGGAATCTGATTAACCACGGTCACTGACATGTGCTCCATGGCACTAAGGGTGAGATGGGCTCCAATCTATGGATGCCAGGCTGGATTTGCATTCATACTGGCAGTGCCAGGGGCAGCCAGGACATGGGCAGGATGTGGGTCTGGTCCCGTGATGGAGCTGCCACCCCTGCGAGAGCTGCTGCCCTTGTGCCCCCAGCCCAAGGGGGAAGCGGCGCTGGCGGTGCTGGCACCCCATGCCGCTGGTCCCGGGTCACCAGGCGCCCGATGGGCCCTTCTGGGTTCCAGTGACACCCAGAGTCTGCTCCGAGCTGGCCCAAAGCTCAGGGGCTGACTCGCCTCTGCACATGAGCCACCAGCAGCTCACAGGAATGAGTCCCCCACTCTGGATAACACATCAAGCTGTCCTGCACCCACCATGGGGAGGTRGCAGCCCTGGCTGCACTGCTGGTGTGGATGAGCAGTGATAAAGAAGCCATAACATACCACAGCTTGAAGGCTGTGTTTCATTTTCCCCAGCCTGAATCATTCCCAGCTCCAGAAGACATCTTTCTACATTGTCCTTCTCCTTGTTTGGCTCCTTCTGGTTCAGTCATTTCTGTATGTGTTTCATAAAGCCRGTACTTCCTTTCCAAGATCAGAAACTATCTCCTCCACCCATGGGTGGGTGGAATCCTATGTGACCCCATAGCATCCCTGGCACTTCTCCACCTCCACCCACCCAAGCCAACCCCACAATAAGCAGGACAGAAAGGTTTGGTGGCTTTTATTAGGACCAAAGCCCCTCAGCTGTGTTTGTTTCATTGTCACAGCTAAGGACAAGTTCAGAGAGGGCCCTGCCATGGCAGGCTGAGGTGCAGCCCCCAAAATGCTGCCAGGGAGGGGCAGCCCAGCAGGCAGCAGAGATCATGGCCAGGGGCACCAGCACCTGCCCCACCAGTGCCCAGCAGCTGCAGCATCCACCTGGGGAAAGGAGCGAGATCCGAGTCCTGCGGGGGCACCGAGAGAGCCCTGGTCAGGGGGGAAACACATCCCTGCCATCCACTGCAGGACAAACTAGCCACAAACACAGCCCTCCCTCCCCCTGGACAAGGGACAGGCTCATCATCCCAGCCCACTCACGCCTGTCCAGCCATGGGATRAGGAAAATCCGAGCTCGGACTCCATCAGCAGGTGACAAGGGCTAATCCAGGACACTCAGCTCACCCCAGCCCCCTGAAGTGATCCACCCTCTCTCCAACGTGGTGCCCCAAACCAGACCTACCTTGCTCTTTGTCTTGTCCTCTGATCTGTCTTCACTTGGGCACTGCAGGAGAGCACAGGAGACAAAACCTCCCTGAATTCCCTTGTCTTCCTCCCCTTTTGACTGTATTCACCTCAACGTGCACCTGCACACCCCATCCCTCCCTCCTGGCACACCCCATCCCTGCACACCCCTTCTCCAAGCAGTCCCACACACCACCACCACTGCCTGTTCCTGGCCAGCTTTCCCCAAGATCCCAGCCTGTGTGACTCCCAGCTGCTCTGTATCCCCAGCACAAGGCCCAGCTCAATTTCCTTGGCACACTGGRCTGATCCCCCAGCGTGGGCAGCAGCTCTGGGGGAATGTGTGGGTGAGACCCCACATGCAGAGCTGCTCCAGCCCTGGGGGCCCAATAGGAGAAGGACATGGAGCTGCTGGAGAAAGTTCAGGAGAGCCCATGGAGCTGCTCCAGGGCTGAAGCCCCTCTGCTCTGGAGCCAGGCTGGGAGAGCTGGGGGTGTTCACCGTAGAAAAGAAGGCTCTGAGGACACCTTAGAGCCCCTTCCAGGGCCTAAAGGGGCTCCAGGAGAGCTTGAGAGGGACTGGGGACAAGGGCCTGGAGTGACAGGACAAGGGGGAATGGCTTCCCCCTGCCAGAGGGCAGGGATGGATTGGTTATTGGGCAGGAATTGTTCCCTGTGAGGGTAGGGAGGCCCCGGCACAGGGTGCTCAGAGAAGCTGTGGCTGCCCCCGGATCCCTGGAAATGTCCAAGGCCAGGTTGGACACTGGGGCTTGGAGCAACCTGGGATAGTGGAAAGTGTCCCTCCCCAGGCAGGGGGTGGAATGGGATGAATTTTAAGGTCCCTTCCCACCCAGACCATTCCATGGTTCTGTGGCTCCACAGAATCCCTGCATGGCTGCACTGAGGCTCCAGCARCAGCTGTGGCAGCAGCTCCAGCACAGCTCCTGCAGAGCGGAGCACTGGCCCCATGTCCCCCGCTCGGTGCCACACCAACAGYGCAGGAGCTTTCACAGGCCGTGGATGGCCAGATTGGAGCCCTGCCTGCCTGGGAAGTGGGGCAGGGGGCAATTCTGGGGACAAGAGTGCACTGGAAAGCCACGGGAAGGGAAGAGGAAGTGTTTGAGCATCCCCCCCCCC